ATTTTAATAAATTTTTAATAAAAATTTAAAATAACTTATTATTATTAGAGTAAAATAGGAATCTTTTCGCGTATTGCATAGCATTTTGATCCCAACATCTTCATTGTATTTTTTTAAGGCATTCTTACACTATATATTATAATTTTTTTTCTAATCTTAAATTGGGCAATGAGAATTAACCCTATCTTATTTTTTAATTTATCTAATTCATATATCGTATAACTCAAACTCAAAATATTTCTTACTTTCAATAAAAAAATAAAATTGTTGAATTGGTTAAGTTGTTACTATTACACTATATATTAGAATTACATTTAAATCATTTACATTAAAAGAAGAAGACATTAAAGAAAAAAATAGTGGACTAATCGGTCATATACACTCACCAAATAACATTATTTGGGGTAACACAATAGTTTCAACTGTAAAATAATTCAAGCGATTGGTATTAATCCTTTTGTGGTAGTCCAATGAACAATTCAGTCTCAATCTCCGAGCATCGATTATTTTGGGTGCAATCGTTTATTGCTTTCCTTTGTTCAATTAATGGTTGCTGCCATAGCTTCTCACCATCACACTAATATCCATATCAAAAGAGAGTTAGATAATTTATTTTCATTTAAAATAGGGTTTTATTGTCTAATTTACACAAAATTATAAATTATACCAAATTACAAAATATGAGTGATTAAATGGTGGGAGCATTGACTATAAGGCTGTCCCCATCATCCAACAGCCTAGTTTTTGTAGCCTAGTGTAAATATGGATTGATAAGTTGTGTTTTTTATTTTGTAAGTTAAAAAAAAAAAAATCCAAGATTATGAAATGAAAAATTCACCTTTTTATATAACTTCGCATTTTCTTCTAACAACATTTTTTCCTGAATTAAAACAAAAAAATGTATTATTAAGATAAAAACAAGAGTGATACTGTTGAGAAGCTTAGAGCTAGAAGATTGAGGAAGTAATATATGTTTAATTCAATGAAAGGGGTTATTCTTACCTTTGCTTTTAGTTGTTGTATCTGCTCCTTATATAACTGTACCTATAATGTAGGACATAACATATTTAGTCTACATACTTTCATGCAAGCAAACATAACTTTCAAGAATTGTTTAGGAATTGTATGTAGGTAGATGTATGGCACCATGAAGAATCTAATCAATGATATGAGGAACATCAAGCCAAAGTCCCTTTCATGCAAGTAGATGGCACAATGAAAAATCTATTACAGATGCATTAGAGAATCCTGTCCCAATTCACGGAGGAGCTTTTGGACCACTAAATGGTTGAACGGATGCGGGTTGCAGCTCTATCTAAAACTATAACCTATGGAAGAGGCGAGTCTAAGGAAATGTGTCAAAAAGCTCATTTGATAGTAACTCAAATGCTAATTTTCCTTAGAGAGCAGAAGTCTTGTAATCATGTATTGATTCAATAATGTAACTACTTTTAGCCTAAAGACAAATCTAGAGGTTGCTAACCTTTCTTGCCCTAATGTTTTTCAAGCTTTGTTCTAGCTGGCTATCAATCTCTTGAAGTTCCTCGAGAGAACATAAGTCCAATCCTTGACCCAACAGCTTCCTGTAAAAAATTTCAAACTTCAGAAATCCTTTCACCTGGATGAGATGAAGTAACATGACATAAGCATTGAATCATTGAACCTTTTAGAAACTTCCAGGTACTCAATCTTCTTAACCATGTTTTCTGTTTCAATCCTCGAGTGCTGCTTTGAAATTTTTTGAGGAAACCGTAAGTACTATTAGCAGCTGTAGGCCAGTAATTTATTATAACTCATGAACCAAGCTGTTTGATGAGAGCAATGAAGATATAATGTAGAGAATACAAAGAGAAATCCAATTATATGTATGAAAAATCAAGAAACAAAAACTAGTTAAAACAAAAGATTGCATAGCATGTTTGGTGAAGCTTGTAAGTATTTCAATTTTTTGACACTATTCATGTTTCATAAGTTTAAATTTTCCTTTTAAAAACTTACATTTCTTAACTTCTTTTTAATCTTAAAAATACCTTAAACAGTAAATTTTGAAAAATTTCAAACTTTTGTTTTTTATAAATTTCATTTTTACTCACTTTTTACTCATTTTTTTTTATTTTTAAAAACAAATTTTAAATTTTTCCTCAAATAAAAATTTAAACTTATCACTTATAAATAGTACAAAAAAAGTAAAAGCTCCAAAAAACTCCACCAAACAGGCTTAATTAGAGTTCAAAACCATGATGTAAACAATAAAGGAGCAGGTTGGCAACAAAGTTAATTTTTATTCTAATCAGCCAAAAATTAAGTATCTTTCCTTTCCGAATAGAATTATATTATAAATATAATATCATCTATACTTAACTCAGATTGTGTAAGGATCCCCCATTCAAATGCCAAACCTTACGGTTTGCTTTCTTAACTATAATTGTTTCTGTTTTCTATGAAATGCAATAATTTTTAAACTGTCCTTTTCTCGGAAAAAAAATCATGGAAAGTTAATCTGCACAATGAAAGATGGACGTCTAACCTGCATCAGTTGTTCCATTTCAGGCTTGTGAGTTGGAATTTCTTTTGTATACATAAAGTATCGTTCAATGGCGTTTTGCATGCTGAAGCATTCACAAAATAAATAAATAAATCATTAATCCATATTATCCTCTTCTTAGAAATGAATGAATAAAACTCAAAGGAAAGCAGATATATCCTATCAGCAGATGGCAAACAATCTCATTAATTAAAAAGTCTGCAAACACTCAAAACTGCGTAAGTTCCAGACCATCCCTAGTTCTGAAGAGCAGAATAACAACATTACATGCTTTTGTTAGATGAATAAAAAATATAATTATTGGGAGCACAAGGGGTACTCCACCCTTGAACTTACAACCACAAGCCGTCTATATAGAATCACATACACACAAAGTTCAGCTTTACTAACATTTAAGACTAAGAGCTCAGCTAATTGAGCAAGGATTCCAGCGTTTCCCTCAAATTTCCTTAGCACAAAGTTGGGGAAAAGAACACCAGTGATGTTAGGAGAACACACAACATTACATGTCTCAACCCAACATCTAAGCCTAAAAGATGAATGCCAAGAATGAAGATGCATCCAAGTTCACTAAATAGTCACCTCAAACAAGGTATAACTTAGACTACATATCTAAAACACAAGAATATCTAAAACAAGTTATAGTATTGTTTCTGACAAACAGTCTTGGGATAAAATAGGTTGGTTGACTTTGTCCAATCAAAAACATTCTGTTGGATCAGAGGTAACTCTACCTCTGCTAAATTTAGTTTTGCAGACCGGTGTCAATTCCCAGTCCACTGTGTAGTGGACTCTTAAATCCTCACTGATTTGTTGATGTAATGCATGGGTGAGTACCCCTTGTACTCTCTTTCTTAATAAAAATTTTTGGTT